CGTTTTTTAAGCAGGCACTTAATCTTACGCTATTTTGATATGACTAATTAATGCCATAAAGTCGACGCTGCCATCTCTTGAACCCTAAAGTCAACTTTTGCCAACTAATTCCCCCCCCAAAAAAAACATTAATGAAAAAAATCGATCCATCCATTAAATATATAGATACCTAACATCATGGAAATAATAGCGCTCTGAGGCAAAGTATAATTTATAATTCAACAGTAGTGAGATATTAGTTGACATCTGAGTTTACATGATGTCTAACTCACACAGTAATTACCTTTTTTGTAACAAGTACCATGTATGTGTTGTAAAGTGATGTTACGTGTTAAGTAGTGGTACACACGATCCATTAACTACTGATTATATTACACAATATATGTGATATAATACTGACACACAGTGACGTATATGTAGTTATTAAATCCTCTTATGTTCGTGTTTCACTTCCGTAAATCAGATACATATATTTCAAATATTGATACGTTATTATATTACACTGTTCGTCGCTTGGAGTGCAATTTACTAATCACGCCATATATGGTTATACCTGCCGCATGACATACATCTCATTATATTGTAATTATATGATAAACACGAATATGATAAGTCCCTAAAACACATATGTTCACGTGACCTGCAAATGCTGCCATGCTGTATGATGCAAAATACATGGTTAGATTCAGCTCAAAACAATGTTACTCATTGTAGACGATCACAGACAATGTCTATTATGTTAGTTAAATGTATTGCAACGTTGTGATTGTGAGTCGACGGAAATGTCAAGATCGCACAGTCTGGGGAATATTTTTCAAACTCTCACATCGAGCTGTTAACATTTTAATAATACCTGCCTTGAGGATATTTTATAAATTATACAATTGATTCAACGTACAAATTCAATACATTTTTTTGTATACTTTCGAAGTTTACAAATTAGTACCTTTCAACGATTTACATTGATGAGAGCCGCTAATTGCATGGATACTGGTTTTAACGAGCGATGTTTCCACTTCACTTTCGCTTCGTGACTTGAGAGCACGTAAATGTGTGCGGATGTTGTACTTCAACCCTCTTCTGTGTGTATGAATAAAGGTATTTCGTATTTAATGGGAAGCCTGGCCAATACTATGGGAGCTCTGGGTTGTCTCTGGCTGTGCAAGTAAGCAGCAACTTGCTACATTTGAATTTATATTCACTTATCTTGGACGATGTTTTTATAAAAAGATGATTTTGTGATAAAAGGCCCCTATTTCAACGAACTAACATAGTATTACACACGAGTACGAGAAGTTCAAGTGAGGTTAAACGTATAATCCATGAAATCAGTTGTCGAGAAAATCCGATCACGAATAATTTTCCTATTTTATTTTTTACGATTTTTTTACAACCACATTATGATGCCTGCATTGCCACATTAATATGTCACGTAATTCCTTGTGCATAGCAAAACAAACGAGCGTGAATTACACATGACACTAGAATCATTTATCTATCATCATCAATTGTTGATTTCCATGAACACGTACATGTTTAATACAGGTGAAATTAACATCGTATGAATTCCCAGATAATTAATATATTCATTAGAGTAAATATATTTTCAATCAAGAGGCACACCATACGTATATTCTATCTAGCTATACAGTGGATACCGAGCCACAACATATTTTAGTCGATCCAAAGATCTGACGTTACATTACCTAGTACTGCCCCTGAAAAAATGACGTAACCATATTTAACGAAACATACATCACACAACACCAGAAGGCGTTCTGAATCAATTTTCCCCTAATTGTCACCACATATATACACTGTAGCTTCATTCTGTAAAACAATCATTGTTTTATAAATTTATATCATGAAGCTGTCTACTACCAAGTTTAGATTAATAGAGAACGTACTTAAACTGTAGAAAAGAATATATATATATGGCAAATACAAACATACTAAATCATAAAACACAACATATTGACATGAACAGACATAGCAAGTAAAAACTAAAGGACACTCAAGAGCGCAAATCTTTGCCACAGATGCGAATTACTTATCTTCAATACTACCTCTACCCTATCATGAATCTTGTAATATGATACAACACGTTTATATGAATATATGAATTTTATTCAGTACAATGGCCTCAGGACTATGGTACAATAAATCAAAAATAGAAAAATACGTTTCATCCATTAAATAATTGTTGAATCAACTAGTCACAACTGGTTAAGTAGATTGTCTCTGTGTTGAGAAGCATAGAATACAAATTTCGCAATTTGAAGTACATATAAGTTGTCAAACTGCATTAAACAAAGAAATGTTTCGTAAGTCTGATTTGACTGATAACATATAGGTAAATATTTTTTTCTAAAATTTTCATAACGTGGACATATCAAGGCAAAAATGGTATTCATCCTCAACCACTCGTAAAATAAATAATTTACAGATTCTCATATTCCTCGGTATGTTTAATTTACGATCCGATTCAATCCGAAGGTTGTAGGACGATGTTCTAAGCTGGCATAGCACAGCACAGAACGTAACTTGTTATCTTTTATCAAATGCATATATTTTTCACATTCAAAATCGATCTTAAAATCTCTGTATTTATCGAGTTTAGGATAATTGTTGAGATCTGTAAATCACGTTTGTTTATACATATCATGAACTCTTTGAGTGAATAGAGACAAAAAGAAACAGTTATCTTCTACTCCTTGGTTTAACCAAACAAAACCAAAACCGTGCGAAAATAGTAGTTCTTTGACTTGGAAAGCCCAACATTTACGGTTGTTTTCCGCTTCTTACAACACGTTTATCATGAAACATGCTTCTAATTGGTTTATGAAATGAGAGACCAAATTGAGTTTATTCACACAATGAATCACACAGTCAATCCTACAAAATGTGTTGTCTCCATGGCAACATAATTCTGATCTCTTCTATTCTAATTCTAAATGTTTGGTTAATGGATTGGCCTTTGTGTCAAGGGCAACTTGTTTAGGTATAAATGAAAAAAAAAACAATCTTTAATTGTAGAGGTAACAACTACCCAATAGTTTGACAGTTACTCCTATGTGAGAAAGAACAAACCACTAAATTATACATTCTTTGCGCGTGAAGACATAGCACATGAAGAAAACAAAATGGCTAAGTAACAGAAATCTGACTGTAGATAGATACTAGCTTGAATAATAGAAAACATTCACATAAGTGAATGGGTTCCAGAAGCCAAGGTACATCACTCATGATTGGGTGAATTATTTCTGGGATTGAACACAAAAGGCGTCCACCCCCACCCCCTATGTAGAAGTGTGCCACATATTCATTTGCCTCATTTGGGAGACCAGATCAACGGGACAGTATTATATTTACTAACGGATGCAACTTTCTAGAAACTTTGGTTAAGGTCCATATGTGCGTATATTCAAACATGCCTAATTGATACCAAACACTGCATTGAATTGTTATAATGTCGTTATGAAATAAATACACCTGCAATAATAAAAAAACAAGAAGAGATAACAACCGAACCCAAATCCTAACTGTCGCCTGGTATACAACTATGAAAACCTGCAGTCAATTCTGTCACATATTGTTTCTAGGCGTATCTGCTAAATACCCTAAGCAGTATTGCCCAGCCTGTGAAGTGTTCTTTATGGATCTCATGCTCAGGTTGGGTGGGATTTTGAGTATTCTCCTGGTTAAGTTGCTGAGGACCGACCACCAATAGAAGGCATGCTAGA